CCGGCCCCGGGCCCGGCCGTCACTCAGCGGGGGCCGGCCCCGTCGCCCCTCCCGGCCGGGAACAGCTGTGCCGTGCCCGGCTGGGCCCCCGCCCCGGGTCCCGGGTTTGGTCTGTCCTTACCCTCCGCCCGCAGCCGGGCGGGCAACCTTGCACCGTCCATCCCCAGGGCGCGGCGGGCGCTGCGGAGGAGGGCAGGGCTGCCCGGGCGGCAGCCCCGAGCGGCGAGGGCAGCACTTGCTTCCAAAGGGTCTCTCCCGCTTTTAACGATTGAGGCAGGCTGGAGCCTGCCTTTTGTCCCGTGGCGACTTCCTTCAGAGCGCCGAGCCGGGCGCCGCGGCGGACCGTCGCCTTTTGGAAGGCCCAGCAAGGTGTGCACGCCTCGGTTCGTGGGGACCCAGGTCACTGCGAAGCACCCCGAGGCTGCGGCTGGAAAAACTCTTTCCGCGGGAGGAGTGGTGCCGCCCCGAGACGGGGGAAGCGGCGGAGGGGGCGGGGGGGGGGTCTCAAGGCTGAGCCAGACCAAGTCACGGCTGCGCTGGCTTCTGGCTGGGGATGGCCCCGCTACCGGGGATGCTGGGGCCCCGCGGCTGCAAGCGTGGGCGCTTTGTACAAGCTGCTTCCCCGCAAACGCCGTCAGTATCGATGCACCTGCTAATTCCGTGTCTTATTTTACCCCCTGTCAGCATGCCCTGTACATCCAGTGGCGGCCACCTCCTTGAGCAGCTCCAAGCCTGCCATCAGCCCTGAGAGCTGCCTTCCAGCCTCGTGGTGTCAACAGTTTTAATAACGTTGCTGCCAAATCTCCTTTCCCCTGCCTCACCTTTGAGTCACCTTAAAGCCCCATGGATTTGTCCTATAATCTTTTTTAACAAATCCCCCACAATGTATCGGCCCCAAGCTCCTCCATCTCTCTGCTGCCTGGTCTCCACCAGCAGCCACAGGCCACGAGTGGAGAGGGCCACAGGTGTATCAGAGGAGGGCAGTCCATCTCAACACTTCTCCAGCCCCACGCTTCCCAGGCCCAGTGATGCCCCTCACCTGAAAATGCCCCCAGTCTCCATGAGATGGTACCTGGATTTTTTTTCATGGCTTGTCATACAGCTCACCTGACTGGTGCTGAGGTTCTGTGTCCCACGGCTTTTGGAGAAAGATCTGCAGTTAGCCCTGGAAATACTGCTCACGGCTAGGCCAAATGAGGGATACAAACAGGGACCCTACCAAGCACTGGATTCAGGCATACCTCATAGAGGTGAGCAGGATTATGGCCCAAGTCACTGGCATCATCCCAGCTGCTGGTGGGAGTGAAAAGGGCACTTAGAACCACCCAGTTTACCCACTGACTGGCCCAAATGCCTGAATTTCTTCAGGCTGAAGAAGCTCAATGGGTACCTGCTTACCAATTGTCTTTCTCAAGGGTGTGCAAGCTGCGAGCAGCTCAGAAAGGAATCCCCCAGCACCACCAACCTTCCCTACAAGCCCATGTTGGCTTCGCACTGAGATACATGAGCCACTTAATTTTTATCCCATCTGGCTGCTGTCAGGTATAGCTTTGTGGGCACCAGAAGCTCGTCCAAGGTGAGTGCTACAGTCCCCTTAGAATGCACTCAGCCTGTCTCCATCAGGCAAGACATTAACCCAGCTTCTCAGCATATTTGTTTTCAGTGTAAGTATCAATGATGCTTCTTTTTTAGCTGTCTA